CGATATTTTGTTAATTGGCCTAAAATGCTAGCAGGGCGCCATATAGTGGGAAAATGGCGAAAAAACGAAGTGAAACGGTCAAAAACCTGCGAAGAAAAACCTTCTTAATGACAATTTCGGACGAGTTTTCCGTAGACATCTTGCCAATAACCGCTACGGTGGGTACGGCTGCATGTATGTTCTCATATATCCATGCAGCATCACGGCCGCTTCATACCAATCCCTTCGCTTCATATTTTACTTTGCAAATAAAGCAATACGAGCGTCAGGTACGGTCGTCCATTTGTGGGCGGGCGGGCGTGGTGGGCGTTCGGGTCGGTATGTTGTAGCTCGATAGGGCCCTTCTAAGGTGCCTCCCTCAGAAAAGGCGCTACGCAGCACCTGCTTAGGGTCGCGGAATCCTGTCCTGCCAGGCGGTATCAGTCCTACTCTTCTTAGAGATTTATCGTGCCAACTGCCTTTAACTCTGGTATCTTTGACGCTCCACAAAGCCAAGGTTCATTGAGAAATCTGCCTTCGGAGCTTTTATAAACTATTTATTACCTCCACGGATTGTCTGCGGCTGTTCAAATCGGAATGCGTCTTGAATCACGTACTTTTTTCTGGATTTAATTTTTTTCCGAATCTTCTCAAGGAAGGTAAAACCAGCGCAGAGTGTTTTCAAAACCACCGCACGGCGTTTCAGTTCCTTCATTGAGAATCTGCTCCTTGCAAAACGGGTTCCATTATAAAATTTGGTGGTTTTTTTGAAGAGCAGATCACATTCAATAAGTATTCGTTCAGGTCTGAAATGTTCACAGTGCGGACAATCCGATTTGAAGTCTGAAGATGCTGATTGCGAAAGGCAGGTTGTCGTCAACTGTCATGATCCAGATTCTGTTTGCTTCACAAGGCAAATCCTTCTCAACGGCGGTGAATAACTTAGTACTTTTTACCATTTCTATTTCATCTCTTTTAGACATATTTTGTGAGAGTAGAAGATCCTACAAGATTGTTCCCATAAGAAGCATAGTGCTCACCTTCTTTAACGGCGGCGCGCAGTTCGGCGACGGGGTGGGGCATCCCGCATTTTCGTTGCTTCACTAGTTCGGTTTACAAGTCTCACTCTGGTGAAACCTGTGAACTCTTGTGGAGCTGGAGCAAGCTCGTCAAGCCGTCATGGTAAAACCTGTTAGCTCACCGAGAGGCTGGGTCGACACGCCGTTAGGAAGTATCAAAAGTGCAAAATGCCCCCTCCCCGTCGCCGGACTGCGCCGCCTTCCAACTCCAATCAGCCTATCGGAACCATTGCTCCTTTGACTCGATTTGAGCGTTAGTCCGCAACATATCCTCCCAGTCCCCAAGTATCCTGTACAAGAATACGCTGTCATTTTATGCCGAGCGGGCGCGATAAAGGGAAGAAAAAACTCGAAAAAAACTGTATCAACACTGAACCCCTTCCCTTTGAACCCTTTGCATCTTATATTGCTCTCCTGCGATATAGATTTCCAACACCTTCGACTTTTATGCCCCTCTCGAGGTGCTGGTCTAATGTTTCCTGTAACTAGAATTTCTTGCGAAATACGTTCACGCTTGGAGCGTCATTCATATCCGCTTTTGCAAAGCGCCTCCCTCCCAGCAGAGTTAGTCTGACTGCCTCACCACTTCTCATGCGTGCATGCGTTCTTCACACAAGAAATTCGTCAAGGGGTAAAGCTACCCGATTCCGGTTCAATTAAATCCACCTTCCGGAACGATTTTCAAAAATGCCTAACCCTATTTTCAGCAAGTGCGATGTCATAGTTCAGGGTTCAACCTTAAAATCACGTGTCGAGAAGCGCAGTCGAAAAGATGTGTCATCAGCGCAAGCGGTAACGCAGGAGTTCCCCACGTCATCCATGCATTCCTGCGCTAGCAATGACGCAGAACATACTGCACTTGCTACACAGAACTATAATTTCAATGTCGATTTCTCTGCAGGGTAAATACATTACAGACGCTACACATTTTCGGCATGGTTCGGCTTGGAGGGGGCACCATGTGGTGCTTAGCAATGCTTGCTCAGGCCATTTTGTGAAGATCTATAAATTCTTCACAAAATGGCTCGCTTATAATATATCCCAGCTCTCCAGCTACTTCAAAGGTTTCACCGAAGAGTGGCCTGTTAGTTAACATAACTAGCAAAAGGAACTAACGAAAGTGCAAAACGTCCCTTCCAAGCCGAACAACACCTTTGATTTGAACATATCCTTGACTTCTCGCCCTCTTGTACAGTACCTGAACCTGATCGTTTTTCAGAGAGCTAAGGATTTCCCAACCGATCCTTTGCCACCATTCGTGAAAACACATCCATCTGGACCATTACCACATTTGGCTGGTCCTGAATTGCCAGTTATCAAGAATACTCCACTAGCTCCAGAAGCTCCAGCAAAACATTCGGAACTACCTCCTCAAGTCATTGCCGCTATTCCCTCTATTCATCCCAAATCCAAGGAATCGCCGGAGAACTCCATCGCTCCTCATAGTCAGCAAAACCGGGACCAGGACCATGGTGATTTAAAACCGGCGCCCATCGATGCGGTCGTTGTTCATCAAGGCGGAAAGGTGGAACTTCCAGCAGAAACGGTAAGGCCTTTGAGATCGTTTCGCAGCTTTCTGAAATGTATATAGGCGGACTGAAAAGGTCCTGTTGCGGTGCGATACTTAGGTTGTTTTGCGCAATGTGGCGCTAATGCGACACTCAGAACTTGTTAGGTACAGTAATTAGTCTACAAAAGAGGTAAGAACGCACTGTAATTACAAACAAATACAAATACAAAGTGGTTAGCCTACTGCGTCACAATATAAGTGCAAAATAAAACAAGCACCTCAACATTTCAATCAAAAGGTATTCTCCAGTACAATCCCTCTCCTTTGCCTGTGCTACTCAGCTTAAAGGAAGCAGGCTGAGCACGGCCCGTTGGAGATCTTCAGCGAGGGGGGCGTACTTGGTTGCTGGAGGGGTGGTAGTAGCCTTCTCGTGTGATTAAAGGAAAATCTCTTTGGTTGTTGACTTTTCCCAGTTTCGTTAGGTTGAGGTTTGCTATACACCCACTTCCGCTCCACAGCATTTTTCTGGGCAAAAACTGCAGAATTTGAAGAGGAAACTTTGGAAAAGTACGAAGACGGGAAAATTTAGGAAGTCGGTGGCCAGGATGACGGATGGGAAGGAGTTGGGGAGGAGCTACCAAAAGAGAAACTTTTCGAGGGGGACGACTGCATTTGCAAATTTTCGTCATCGGCTGGACGTGCCATGATGCTGACAATGAGAGTGGCTTGGAGTGGTAGGGAATCGACAATGCGTGCTTACTGAGTGGGCGCTATTCGGCGACAGAGGGGGGGGGGAGGCATTATGATTCCCATCGATGTGTCGACCCATCTAGGTAGCCTTTTTTTGAGTTGACATGTTTTAAAATGGTGACGACGAGCTTGTTCCAGCCTTCGGCAAGGCTTCCACGAAGTTTTCACGGCAGAGCGGAGTTGGAATCGGAAGTAGTAAGAAACATTTATAGTGCAAAATGCCCGCCGTCGCCGACTACGCTTCTAGTTTGAGTGTACTGAAGTTAGTGGGCGTCTGCGATTCGCCTTTCAGAAAGAATTGCGGGGTAAATGGGAGAGATGGGCTAGACCCTGGGCCGGGAGTGGTTTTCGAATGGGAAAAGTTGGGCGGCAAGAGCTGTCTGACTAATGCTCGTGGTCGAGACCGTAGTCAATTCTAAATTGCAGCGAATATGAATGGAGACAACTGATGCTAACCTGAACATCTTGTTGCTGCTGATGGATGCGGGCGGCGTCTGGGTGGGGCGAAGGGCGGGACATCGGCTTGACGCACCTCCAGCCAGCTCTCCACCAAATAATATCGCTTGCCCCGCTACAACACTTCGTGTAGAATTCGCTAGCTTCATGATAGACCCAGCCTCCCTGATACGCCCCAGCATGCGCAGCGCACAAGTCTGTGCACAGGGGACAGCATCGCCATGTGTGAAATGGTGGTGTCAGTCGGTACGACCCCCCCCCCACCTAAAAGAGGGTCTCGGTACGACCCCCCTTCCCAACACCTACCTACCACTTTCCTACAAGTTCCCAGCTTCCTACCAGTTTTTCCGAAATTTTCCACATTTTCCAGTTTTTCACCCGAAAATTTCGTCGAGCAGGGGTGGGCGGAGGAGGTAAATAACACATGCGAAACAACACAGGGAAAGCCGCGAAAAGTCAACAAACGAGAAAAAATTTTCCCAACGCGGCCAAATTTCTCTCAAAGGCACGACCCCCCTCTCCAACAACGACAAAATACGAACCCCTCCCTAGCGTCCAAGTACTATACCCCCTATATTTGACACAACGATGCTGTACCCTGTCTATGCGATGATAATCGCTCTTTCAGGCAACGTTGAAGTGTTCGGCATGCCTGGAGACTGGAATCACGGATCCGACAGCCGATTGTGGTTCTAGTGCTCCTGCAAATTGCGCTGCTCACGAGAACTTCTGTATGACCAGGCAAATTCAGAACCAAGGCGGTAAGTGGCTACAGTATCACGCACTGAAGAATTTAACATGGGTATTTATTTCTGCTCACTGTACCCTAATAAGACCATTACTATTCTGTATTTTTGTGT